CTTTTTTTTATTTAACGTTGAGAGCATCTCTTTCCCCCCTGAAAGATTTTGTTTATTTATTTGAGGAAGAGAGCACAAGCAGGGGAAGGGTCAGGGGGACAAGCAGACTCCCCACTGAGCAGGGAGCCCGATGTGGGGCTCGATCGCAGGACCCTGAGATCGTTACCTGAGCCGAAGGCAGATGCTTAACGACTGAGCCACCTGGATGCCCCTAAACTTGAGAGTATTTTCTGCAGAAATATGGTCATCTCCTTTCCCCCAGGATGGAGGGGTGCTGGCCACAGCCATGCAGGTGTGAGGGCCTCCTGTTGCTCTTCGTTCAGGCTCAGGGCCAGAGGGCTGTGACTGGGCATGCTGTGCCCTCCTCCCCACTCCCCTGGGTGGTGCGTGGACAGACATTCCACCACCGAACCGTCAGCCCGTCCTAATCCACTTTTGTGCCAGGGGAAGGTTAAGAGAGGTGTCCTATTAGCCAAGTCTGGTCTCCCTGCTGCTCCAGTGTCACCCTGAGGGAGGTGCCCACCTCTTGCCTGGTTCTCCTAGCCCAGCTTCTCAGTCCTACTTCCCCTTGGTTGGAATTCCTTCCCCATTTGCTTGTCACACTCCTATGCACTCTGTAAAGCCCTATGTAAAAAACCCCCGTCCAAGCAGGAAGCTCCTCTCTGTGTCCTCTCCAGATGCTAAGCTCTAGAGTCCAGCTGTGGCATCCAGTCCCCTCATAACCTGTGACTTGACCTCCTAAGGGCCAGGGGCCCCATGGCAGAGCCCCCTCGGCCCCACTTCCCCTGCTCAGTGGTCTTTTTGGTACCCGTTGCTCCTCCATGTTGCTGGAGCCCATGAGACGTCTGACCTGCCGGGCACAGCCTGTTGGGGAGACTCAGGCCCAGGAGTCAGGCTCCCGGAGAGACCCATCTGTCCTTTTCCGTCTTCAAACACAGGGAAATCTGCAACTCTTCCTCTGACCGCAGATCTTGTCCAAGGAGAGGCCTGGGAGTCCGCTCTGTGGTATCCATGTCTGTGGGGAACAGGTGGCCGGGAAGGTGTTCTGGAGAAGGCTATGAAAACTCGGAACCCACCTGGGAAGGACAGTTGTGGAATCTTCCTGGGCGTGTCTGCCCAACCTGGAGGCAGGGGTCTGCGCTGGGCAGCCCCTCCTGGGTCACCCCTCTCAGAGCTCAGAATCCAAGCCCTGGTCGTCATCCGCAAAGTCGGTCTGTGTAGGTGCTTCCGCTCTCCAAGAAGTCAGGATGCAGAACGAATCTAGTCAATAGTCCACTAAACCATGTAGGTCACTTGTCGGATGGCCGGGCCACGTGCGGGGCGTGACGGGGGCTATGGGCTCCAAAGAGTTTGCAGCCCCTCCTGGCGGCATTCTGACTCAGGCAGAAGAAGAGCCCCCTGCCTCTCCCCAGCTTAACTCCTGTCTGCATGAGGGCAAGGTGCTGGTGAGACGTGTGGGGGTGGTACTGTCTACTGACGAGTGAGCAGGTCCACGTGGTTCTCTGCCGAGCAGCCACGTGGCAGGTCAGCTTGCTGGAAATCACGGCCTAAGATACCTCGATGCACATGGACGTTTTCAGTGCTTGAGGGCTGGAATCAGTAACAGGCAGCAACATAACGGACATTTATCAGTCAGATGTCAGGAAAATAATTGGAAACCTGGACCGCCCGAGGCCCTGTAGACGGGGGTTTTCCCAGCTCGCTGCCGTATGCCCGTAGGTGGGGGGCCACGGCTCCATGTCCCGGGCTGTCGGGCTCATGAATCCTGTCTGCAGAACCTGGTATCTGGGAGGTGCCTGCCACCCCAGTGTTGGGATGAACAGAGGCCTGACTGCTGGGTAGCCCTGGGCTGCGAGGGGCCCTGCTGCTGGCCTGGCCACGTGGGTCCCGGGCCACCAGCCAGGTCACATCTGAGGCAGCCACTTGTATTTCTTTCAGAGATGTGTCTGCTTCCATGAGCAGGCCCAGCTTGGGCCCAGTCGGCAGCCCACCATTCCCATAGATTTGCAGAAAGAGCTATATAGACACTCACCACCTTCTCCCTGTTCCCCCACCACAGATGCTGTAAACACTTGGATAACGCTTTCTCAGCACCCTCTTGCAGCTAGAGGTGATCATGTGACCGAATTTTGGTCAAGTAGAGGTTTGCTAGGGGCTTCTAGAAGGCTTTTTGAGTCTTTATCATGGCTGGCCCTGTCCTTTCTCCCTTCTTGTTGATCCAAATGTTGATGTGATGTCTGGAACTTGGCAGCCATCTTGTGACCATGAGGCAACAAGCCTGGAGAGGGAGAGATGTCAACGTCCTCAGTGTGGAGGGGCTGAGTCTGTCAGAACCAGCAGCCTCCCCTCTCCAGACTCCTAGATTGGTGAGGAAAATCCACCATTGTTTTCTGATTGTTGGGACCAAAGAGCTAAGTGATGTGGCATTTTAATGCTGACGAGCAAATGTGTGTCACAGCCCCCACAGTTCCTTGAGCTTTGACTCCTTTTCCAGCCACTGGCTGGTATCTCCACTTGGGGGTCCCAGCACATTATGTACCAACAGATTTGCTCCCCCACCTTCCAAACCTGTCCCTGCCACATCACTCTCTCTCTTCCATCCCATGCCATCTCAAACTGGGAAGTCTACAGCAGGGGGAGGGATTGTATGCTTGGCTTCATTTATTCACTCAGCAAATGTGACCTGAGCATCTTGCACATACCAGTTGCTCTTCCAGGGACCGAGGAGCTTACGCACCAGTGGGCAGTACACACTATAAGCGGACAGATTCATATGGGACCCCTCCGGGTGGCAGGGAGGCTGGGGCAGAAACAAGTCAGGGTGGTGGGCACTCCTGCAGGAGGGTCAGGGAGGTCACTGGGGAAGGTGGGGATGGAGCAGAGACCAGAGGAGCTGGGGGTGAGGCATGCAGCAGCTGAATCCTCCATAAGCACAGAGGCCCTGAGGCCCATGTATGAGGAGTAGAGGAAGGGGGTGGCTGGAGAGAGGAGGGGCCTGGAGAGTCGCTTTTTAATTAAGGGTGTGGGTTTGAGCACACTGGGCTTCCGAATGCAAGGGTCATTTGGGCTGCTGAGGGAGAGTGGGCCGCGCATGGGAGGGCAGGAACACACGTGGACCACCGGGGCAGCAGGCTGCCATGGTCCCGGGAGCCTTGGAGGAGGAGGTGAGCAGCTGTGGCTCAAGACTGAAGGTGGGACAGATGGGAACTTTGTGGGGCCACAAAGCCAGAGCAGGTTGAAGGAACTGCTGTCCACCAAGGGCAAGGGGCTTTGGGGGGCAGATCAGGAGCTGCAGTCCGGACCCTTTGCCGCCCCAGTGGGGATTTGGGGCTAGCTCAGGCTGGGGATGTGAATTTGGGGTGGCCTGCACACCAGTAATACTCATAGAGGAGACCAGCAGATGCTTCCCCTCCCCTAACAGGGGCACCTTGGCGGGTGGAAGGCAGGGGTGGGGCCGGGTGGGATGGTGGTTTGGCTGCTGCAGCTCCCTTGTCCAGGGGATGGCAGGACAAGGGGGGTCCCCACCTGACTCCGTGGGGCTCTCCTTCTCCCAGTCCTGTCTCTTCCCTGATGTGGTCGCAGCATCGCCCCTGGGTGATGGGGATTGGGAGGGACCCTTGCCCCCACCCCACCTGCTGAGTGCCTGGCACGCACAAAGACCCTCCAAAGAGCCTCTCTTGTGGGCCCCCCCCCCAGTGGTAGAATACCAGGATGTCCTACCTCTCAGCCCCCTCCCCTGCTGTGCCCCTGGGGGGGTGTGAGCTCAGGGGCCTCTGTTGGGCCACAGTCTCCCAGACGACCCTGCTCAGAGCCTATCAGCTCGCCCATCTCCATACCCCCCGCCCCAGCTTCTCCTGGCTTCTGAGCCACGAAGGATGCCCTAGGGGGCCGAGGAGGGGTGGAGTCTGATGATTCAGGCTCTTCCTGGGCCTCAGCTCCCCCACCCCAGGGCCCCCATGGGATGGGTGCAGGTACATACTCAATAGGAACAGATACACAGTGATGGCTGGGGGGCATGGGGGGTGGCACTGGCCCTCCCATGCCCCTGACTGGGGGCTGAAGGGCTCCCTCTTCCCCACAGGTGCTTCCAGGCCGTTTTCCTCCTGGCCCTGACCATGCTCCTGCTGACCGGCATCCTGCACATGGACATGGGGCAGCTCACACAGTGAGTTATGCGTTGCGTGCCTGCTCCCAGGGCAGTGCCCGCGACCCCAGCCTGTCCACCTCTAGGTCGCACCCAGCACTGGCTGGTGATCATGGAGGTTCATGCCTCTCCACTGGGCCTCAGCTTCCTCCCCCTGTGAGGGGTGGGCCCTTCCTTTTGGGGATCCAATAGCCTTCTGGAGCCCTCCAGTGTCTCCTGTGGGCAACAAGCTGCCCAGGCCTCTGGGCAAGGCTCTGGGAGGGTGGGAGTGGGCCCGGGCTGGGCATGTCTTGGGCAGAGCTGCTGTCTGCAGAGGGTGACCAGGTGCTAGGAGGCAGGGCTAGGGTCCATGGTGGGTCTGGGAAGGTCAGGTCCCCTGCTCCCCTGCCTGCCGGTGGTTCATCCTCTGTGAGGCCCAGGGTCCACAGGGGTGGCCATGTAAGCCCAGTGTTTGGCCTGGCCACTGCAAGGTCTTGTGGCTCCAGGCCTCCTCTCTCTGTCTCACCACCTCTCGGGTTGGGTCTCCTAGGGGGACATCAAACTCCCTGGGTCTCTCCATTTGTTCCCCCCATTGTCCCCAGGGCTGGCACAGGCCTCTGGACCCTGCCCCCCTCTATCCAGGGTTATCACTGGCCTTGCACTGGGGCTGGAAAGGCACCTGCTGCTCCAGGCTGGAGTCGCAACTGGGTCGGTGCCGTCTTGGGATCACAAGAGTGGGCACCAGCACCCCTCTGAGCCTGCAGTCAGGTTGGCCGGTCCTGGCATGGAGGGTCAGCCAGGAAACGCTGGATGTGTGGTCCAGGCCACAGGGCCAGAGCCATACCGGGTGCCCTGGGGACCAGAGAGGAGGCTGGGGCCAGAGGGGGGGTGCCAGGGCCCAGGGGCCCAACCTGTGGTATGTGGGGGGACAGAGGAAGCGGCCACTTGGGGAGCCATCAGGTCTGTGCCAGTGGGTCCTCTGGGGTTGCAGTGTTGGGGGTCTCTTGGTGCGTGGAAACACAGTGATCAAGTGAGGTTGGGGGTGCAGAGTCTGGGTGTCACTGGTAGGGAAAGTGTGGGTTAAGGGATCTTCGACGGGGGAGGGGTTGGTGACAGAAGATGGTTTGGGGGTCTCCGGGGTTGGGTGTCCACGGACCCTCCCTGGTTGACAGTGGCCACGCTCTCCTCCCAGCCTGCTTGGGGGCCAGGCCGAGGGGCCGCCCATCATCAATGTCATGTTCCTCAAGACACACAAGACGGCCAGCAGCACGGTGCTCAACATCCTCTTCCGCTTCGCGGAGACACACAACCTGTCTGTGGCACTGCCCGTGGGCTCGCGCTTCCACCTGGGCTACCCCTGGCTCTTCCTGGCGCGCTACGTGGAGCGCTCCAAGTTCCACGGGCCACAGCAGCGTTTCAACATCATGTGCAACCACCTGAGGTTCAACCTGCCCGAGGTGCGGGGCGTGGAAAGGAGGGGAGTGGTGCGGGTGGTGGGACTCGATCCCAGGCTCTCCATGCGGTTGTGCCTTCGAGGTGTGAGCATGCGGGGTGGTCGTGGCCTCAACCCTGGAGAGACTGAGGCCGTGTGTGTGTGCATGTGCAGACCCTGCCAGAGCCTCACCTGGGGGCAGGGAGAGGCCGGCCGCGCACCCTGCTCCCCTCCCCCGCTGACAGTCGGCTGCCATCACTCTTGGAATCAGATGCGGGCACCCTCTCGGCCGGCTGCTCTCTCCATCTGCTTCTCTGGACCCCTGCTTTTGCTTCCCAAACCTGCCGGCCTCTTCCTACTAAGGACATTTGCACATGGTCTGCTTTTGAGGGGACACTTCACAACTCCTCATCTGGGTCATTCGCATCTCAGTTTAGAGGTCACTTCCTTGGTGGGGGTTTTCCTGATCTGCCTTCCAAAGGCTTAGCGGGGCGGGGAGGGGGGGGGGGAGCAGAGGATGGGGGGGCTAGGGGAAGGGCGGGGTTCACAGCAAGTGTTTGAGGGTCCCTCTGGACAGTGGTGGAGGGTGCGGCCGGGAGGCCGGCGGCCTGCGCTGGCTGAGGGGAGGTGGGAGAAGAGAGCGTCAGCCTCCTGGGCTGCCCCAAGGAGCCCGAGAGTCACCAGCCCTTCCCCCCACATCTCCACACAGGTGCAGAAAGTCATGCCCAACGGCACTTTCTACTTTTCCATCGTCAGAAACCCCGTCTTCCAGCTGGAGTCCTCCTTCACCTACTACAGGGACTATGTCCCTGCGTTCAGGCACGTGGAGAGCCTGGACGCCTTCCTGGCCTCCCCCTGGACCTACTACAACCAGAGCGCGGGCTTGTACAACGCCCCGGCCAGGAACCACATGTGGTTCGATCTGGGCTTCGACAACGACGCGCAGGCGGACGACGAGGGCTACGTGCGCGCGCGCCTGGCCGACGTGGAGCGGCGCTTCCAGCTGGTGCTCATCACGGAGCACTTCGACGAGTCCCTGGTCCTGCTGCGGCACCTGCTGCGCTGGCGGCTGGACGACGTGGTGGCCTTCCAGCTCAACTCGCGGAGCACGCGCAGCGTCGCCAGCCTGACGCCTGAGGGCCAGGCGCGCGCCAAGCGCTGGTGCGCCCTGGATTGGCGACTCTACCAGCACTTCAACCGCACCTTCTGGGCCCGCGTGCACGCCGAGCTGGGCCCGCGGCGCCTGCGCTCCGAAGTGGCGCGACTGCGCGCGCGGCGGCGCGAGCTCATGGCGCGGTGCCTGCAGGACGGCGTGGCCAAGAACAAGTCGCAGATCACCGACCCCCAGCTGCGCCCCTTCCAGTCGGGTCAGGCCGACATCCTGGGCTACAACCTCAGGCAGGGCCTGGACAACCAGACGCAGTGGATGTGTCAGAGGATGGTCATGCCTGAGCTGCAGTACACGACCCGTTTGTATGCCCTGCAGTTCCCAGAAAAGGACCCCAAACACATACCCTTCCTGGAGTAGAAGGACAGCGCCAGGGACAGGGTCCCCGTCCCAGCCCCTCCTCTCCCCCTGTCATCCCTGGGAGACCATGGCACCAATTCGTGAGGAGGGGGGCTCCTGGGACAGCTGCTGGTCAGGGTGAAGACCCCTCTGAAGGCACCCACCTGTGATCCATCCTCTTGGAGGCACTGAGAACCCCACTCTGGGACAGTAGGCACACTCGGTCCGAGGGTATGAACCTGGTTAACAGGTAGAAAAGACTTACAAGGTGGGAAGGTCACTGATACTAAATTACAAGTTGACAAACTGCCCCGGGAAAGAACACACGTAGGCACATTGACCATCAGAAGAACTCGAACCCAGGGGATCCAGAGGGCCTTGGGCAGCAGGGCTGGGAGTCCCCGAAGGACCCCAGGTGGCTCCCTGAATGTGCTGGCTGTGGGACATGATGCTGGTCACAGAGACCTTGTGGGACACCCACTGGCAGCCCTTGGAAGCTGGTATGAGGCAGTAAGGATCTGGAATGTTCAGCTTCCCATCTAGGGCTGGATGAAGCTTCTTCGCAAGTAAAGAATGGCTTTAGGTTGAGAAATGTTGAAACTGCTTACGAGACAAATGGTTTAACCGGAGCGAAAGCTGAGGATTCGTGCCACAGCTCCCTGTTGGGGTAGCCCCCCTGGAATGTGTGGCATCTGACCTGCTAGAGGAGCTCCCATGGACCTACAGCAGACCCCGTTGTCCTGGAGACCACCTTGGATGCAGTCCCAGAGGAGGTGGCTTCCAGGCACCCCTGTTTGTCAATTGCAGGGAGGGACTGAGGGTCCCCTGCCTAGTAGGACGTGATCCTGGCTGCCTGGGGGCCCAGAGGTTAGAGTGGGGTGCATACCAGTGGCGTAGACCCTGTGTCCCTTCTGCCCAGTACCCACAGTCTTCTTCCTTCCACGTGAGGGTCCTCAGCCGTGAAGACCCCAGGAGCCTGGCCGGGGCACCTGGGGAGGGGCTCCATGTGTAGGCCCTCGCACGAGTCGTCCCGGCCAGCCTGCCAGCCAGGGTGAGGGAGACAGGTGGCCACCCCCGTCCCCGCCACCACGGCAGGGCGTCTGTTCTGGCATACCGATCAGGACCACGGAGTTACAGTAGAAATCTGAGGGTGTTTGCTCTGCCCTTGTGGCTGGCAGGAACGTAGACTGGTTCTGTCTCTTTGGGAGGAAATTCGGGGTTATTTATTACAGTGTAAAGTGCGTGTGGTTTGCAAGAGAGCTCGGAAAACAGCCCACTCGGGAACTCCATCCAGAAGGGAGGTTTCAAATGCTGAAGTCGTCTGCAGCCGATAAACGTTGGGAGCACTGAGTCTGCAGAAACTCCCTTTAGGCGGGGGGATTTCGGGGCCTTGGTGATGCTGAGGGGGGGTTGGGGGGGCAGGTGGCCCGGGAGGGTCTATGATGGCCATGGAGGATGGAAGACGCCCAGGAGCCAGACCTTCTGATTTTTCAAGAGAAGCTGGAAATACAGGTTTTTATGTGAACTCTCCACATTTAAAAAGGCTGGTGTCATGTTAAAACATTAAGGGGGTGGGGAGGAGGGTGAATAGGGGGAAGGGATTAGAGATACAAACGTTCGGTTTAAGAGTGAATAAGTAATGATGATGAACAGGGGAGAGCATATAGTCTGTCACTTTGCAGTGGTCTTGTGTGCGGACAGATGGTGACCACTTGTGGCTGTGGGCGTTTTGTGATGTACCTAATTGCTGGGTCACTATGTTCTAACGTGAAACTAATATGATGTCGTATGTCAACTATACTTCAACGAGGAAACAAAAAACAAAACAAAACCCACAGATCTCTTATTCTGTTTGTAGAGGAAAGGTAATTGTAACATAGGAAAAACAGCGAGCTCCTAGACTGATTGACACGAGAGATTGTTAATAGCTTACTTATAATTTTTTTCACCGTATTGTCGAAAGCTTCTATGAATAAAAGTTTCTCAAATGATTAAATTATTTATTAAGCATTCTTCGGTGTTGTTAAAAATGAAAAAACAAACAACAAACCAAAACCCCAAATCCCTAAGCAGAGGGAATGAGGTCCGTGTGTGGGACGCCTCCTTCCATGGCCCCAGTGGGCATCCTGCTTAGACAGCCCTGCCTGGACCTGGGGGCTTTGGGGGCTTTGGGGGCTTTGGGGGCTTGTAGGCTCAGCAGGGGGCCCATCAGACTGCACCAGGCCCGGTGGTGGGGGACAGGGAAGAGAGATGGTTTGGGTGAGGCCCTGAGAGGTGGGGAGATTGTACTTGATGTGGAAACGTTGGGGTCCGGAATGAACAGCTAAGGAAGAATTCTTGAGACATCTTTGGTGCAAAAAGGTGGTTTTATTAAAGCACGGGGACAGGACCCATAGGCAGGAAGAGAGCAATGGGGCCATGAGGAGTAGCCCATTATATACTTTCGAGTTGGGAGGGGGTTAGGGATAGGGTAAGTCTCTAAGGAATTTGGAAGCAAGGTTTCCAGGACCTTGAGGGGGCTAGCGCTCTTGTTGGGAAAATGTCATTTATTACCGTCTAATAAGACCTGAGTCATGAGACCCTCCAGATGTATATCAGGGGGTCATGTGCTTGGGGGTTGATTGCCAACATGTATCTTGGAGGCTTTAGAGATAAAGGAAGTTTCCAAAGGAATTTCTATATGTTAAAGTAGACTTACAGGATCCTGGGGGTCAAGGTATGGTTGGCTTTTGCCCTTAGCAAAGTATCAACGTTGAGGCAGGTGAGTACCTAGAGGAAGGCCACTCTGCCTGTTTCAAGGACTTGTCCATGGGCTGTGGGTAGTAAGGAAATTTAATTTTGCCTTTGTTTCCCACATCAGTGACTCCTTCCCACAGTCTCCCCCTTTCCTACTGCGGCAGAGCCCTGGGCTTCCATCCATCCCCTTCCCAGCTCCCCTGAGGACCTGAAGACTCGACAGGTTTATTATCATCTCCACCCGGACATCATAGGATGTCTCCATTTTCCCAGAGCCCTGCTTTCCCTTTGAAGTCCTACTGTAATTGAACGGACCTGAGTTTACTCCTCGGTGAGTCACACAGAGAAACTGCACCAGATAAATCTGCACAGGCGTGAGTCCATGAGTCGCAGGTTGAGCTCCCACTGGTCCGGGTGGTCCGAGCAGTTGTTACTGCCTGGGGGTGGGGGGGAGCAGTTTCAGTGTCCATCACCGAATACTTTACGTGTCGGGTCTCTGCCTGAGTTAAGAGAGCAGCTGGAAAGAAGAGCTTCAGGAAAAATGTGGGATGAAGGTCATTGGGTACAAGCAGATGGGCAGTAAAGGTCAGGTCTTGGGGTCTAACAGGCGACGCCCGCCCCACCAACCTCCACCCCAGAGAGCCCAGCAAAAAGACACACCTCCAGAGAGCCCGCTGCGCGCAGAGGGCGGACAGGCCAAACGCGACCCACAGGCCCGGACCCAGACAGAACACACAGACACCAGGCCACGCCTCAAAGGGCACAACAGAAAGCAACACTGACAAAACACACGCCCCGGCCCAGAGCGCGGCGGGCAGCCCGAGCCGCCGACAAAGCACGGACAAGGAGATGAAGCCCAAGGAGAGCCAAAGCAGAACCAGCCCTGGGGGAAAGAGGGGCGGCCCAGCTAAACATCCAGCAAATAAAGGAAAGAAAAACCACAGGAGGCTAACAGCCCGCCGGCAAGAGTGTGGGAAAGTGTCCCCGCAGGAGCAGAGGGGGCAGACCACAGATGCAAGCCCCTCAGAGGGCAGCTGTGGCCCCTTGCACCACGACACCCAGCACAGCCCTCACGGGGGGAGCCCCCAAATCAAAACCACCCCAGCACGGACAGAGACCGTCATGGGGCAACACACCGACACAACCTACGAAGGCACCAACACCCGCACACAGAAACCCACAAAGCAACACCACTGGCGGGAAGCCCCAGGGCCCACGGAAAGGACCCACCCAACGCAGCCACCAAGCCCAAAGGCACGCACACACAAAAGGCCCGGATCTCGCCCCAGCGAAAACACAGAGCAGAACAACCCGAACACCCCCCCGCCCCAGCTCAGCACCCTTCCCCTGCAGCCCGGTGAGTCCCCTCCCTCCTCAACAACAAACAAACCCTTGACCACCAGAAATAGACTCCCCTCACAAACCTGACCGCCAAGCCCCCAGCCGAAGGCAGAACGCACAGACCCAAGACAGGCAAACCAAAAGCCAAAAAAAGAAAACCCCCGGCGGATCAGTGCCTCAGCCAGGGAACAAGCGGCCCGAAGCGCACCACAGGGACACAGAGACCTGGGATCAAGTACACCAGCCGGGGCCTGTGGGAGCCGACGGGTGTGTGGGCTCCGCTCCACCAGGCCCAAGCTTTATAACTGAGTCCTGGCCCCTCACACAGCACAGGTCCTTCAGGTCAGACTGGAGACCCTTCCCGAAGTGACAGAGCCAGGAGTCCCCTCTGCCCAACTTGTATTCAAAGCCCTTTGCTCTTTATATGCGGGCCTTTAAGGCCCTACAGGCTGGGGTCCCGGGCCAGACGACAGGGGCTGTGCTCACCTGGAGGGTGTGGGTGGGGGACCTGGGCTGTCCGGAGGGCTCCAGGGTGGAGCCCGGACAGGATGTTGGGACACAGCCATCCTATCCTGGTCAAGCCAAACCCCTGGACCCTGCTGATTTGGCCAAACTGGGCCAGCTGCCCATGAGGCTCTGTTCTTCCTGTTAGATTGGGGGGTCTCCCCGGGACTTCGGGGCTCTGCAGAGACCGGGGGCCTAGGCAAGGGTGGCGCTGGTTGCCCTCATCCTGCTCGGTGCAGCGGGCAGAGTGAGGAGCTGGTCTGTGCAGCTTTGCAGGCTGGGCGGGGGTGGGCCCGGACCCCCTGCTCTCACTGACAGCAGTCCAGGTGGCTCCGGCCCTGTGGAGTAAGCCAAGGGCAGAAAATGTCCCCTTGTGTCCATCCAGCCTGGAGGGACATGTGGCAGCTGCAGCTGCTTCCCGCTCTGGGGCACAATTGCCCTTTGGAGGCAGGCTGGGGAGGAGCCCAGGGCTTCCAGACACACGAAGCTGCTCTCGAAGCCCCAGAGGCTGGGGAGGGGGCAGGCCTGAGGTTGGCAGGGGGTCTGCTGGGCTCAGCGGGCTGTGGAGCGGGCCAGTGTGCTGCCCACGAGAGCCTTTCTGGAGTAGGTGGCCTTGGGCAGAGGTGGACGGAGGTGGAGGTGTCTGTGTGTTTTGGGGATGTTGGGAGCGGAGGCTGAGCCAGGCAGCACACCCTCCTGCGTGTCTGAGCAGGGCCACTCTTGTTTAGGGGTGTTCGTTCCTGTCATCGGCCAGCCCCCGTCCATCCTGACGGTCTCCTCTGACATGCACTGCCCGTGCTTTGTGTGCAGGGGCTGGAGTTCTGAGAGTGATGCTCCCGAGTACGATGTGGGGCGTCTTGCTCTCTCCCTCCTCCCTGCCTTGGTGCTGTGTGCTAGTCACCGTCCAGTGCCTGGCCACGGGCTCTGCCTGCTCCAAGTCCGGCACGTGCCTCCACCACCTTCTACTGCCTGCCGCCCGCAGCACCACCGGGGCGCCCCTTGACTTGCATCCCTCCAGGGGGCCGGGCCAGCCCACATTTGCCTTTGTGCAAATCAGAGAAAGAGGCCCCCTTCCGGGGGATTGCAGACCCCACGTGCACCCCAAGTATGCCCCCTCATGAACCTCCCTTGGGAGCATACTCCCGGGAGTGAGGCTACCTCCAGAAAGGCTGCCCTAGGCCGCTCCCCATTACCCCTACAGGAGCCCTGACTTGTGGTAAGGGGGGCCAGGTGACCAGCCGGGGTTCAGAGAGCCGGGCCATGTGCGGGCACAGGATGCAGGGGCAGGAGCGGCTGGGGCCTGGGTTGTGGAAGAGAGGCCAGGACTGCAGCGGGAAGGGCCTTCTTTGTCCTTGCTGAATCTCCCCTCGGGTCCTTCCAGCCAGGGCTCCCCTGGTGCCTGGAATGTGGCCTCCTCTCTGTCCTTCCCCCATCCCCTCTTAGCCTTAGGCTCCAGAGAGCCCCCGGCTCAGCACGCCCTCCCGCAGCCTGGCTTCTGGCCTCTGTGGGCAGCAGCTTGTCGGGGCTCAGACAGACACTGGGGGTGTGTATCTTCCTCCCATCACTGTGGGGAGCAGCTGCTTTCCAAAGGCAACCCCCAGTGCACAGACTAGAGTGGCCTGGCCCCCCTTTCTGCCAGGAGGGGGTGGGGCAGGACAGCAGTGTGGGTGACCTCTTTGGTCTCCGTGGGGTCCCTGTCACTGCTCCTCTGGCCTGCACTGTCTTTAGCTCCCTCGAGGCACATGTGGGAGCCATTTGGGGCACCTGTGGGTGGGATGACTCTGCTGGACCTCCCATGACCCCCAGCTTTGCTCAGGAGCCCAAGGGGCAGGGTGTTTGGTCCCCTGCACCCGCAGATGTCCTGCTAGGATCTGGACTTCAGGCCTCTTCCCTGCAGGACGCCCAATGGCACCCTCCTCTTGGCTTCAGCAGGCCCTGCCCCCCGCCTCGCCCCCATCCCTCCTGGCCACTCCCAAGAATCCCACAACCCCGCAGGTCTGAGAAGGGTGCTAGTGGCAGCCAGGGCACCTTCGCCAAGAAGCGTGTGTCTGAGTGTGTGGAATGCAAGTGTCTTTCTGTCTCCCAGAGTTGTGCGTGGTGAGTGTGCGTGCGTCTGTGTGCGCCTCTGTTTCGTGCCTAAGTCTCTCCCTGTGTCACTTTCTGCGCATCTGGTGTGTCTGTGTCTCCCCATGCTTGCGCGGCCTGTGGTCATCGGGCCCCTATTTGGGGAAACTGAACCCCTGAGTGTCCAAAACTTTGGGCCCTCATTGTCCACTTGGCCAGCGTCATGCTGGGCAGGTGTCCCAGGAATAGGGTGGGCAGAGTCAGGGGACTCTGACCAGGCAGCCCCTGCTCCGGGGACCGGGTTGAGAGGAGGAAGGGTAGACTGCAGACATTCTGGGGTGCAGTGGCAGGGAGGGAGGGGGGTAGGGGCTGCCCTGGTCTTGGGATGGGGAGCCTGGGATGGCGCGGTCTCCGAGGAGGCACGCGGGGCTGGGGGTGTCTGCACCTGCAGAGCCCTCTCCCCACTGTAGGCAGACAGGAGGGGAGCGAGCACGCCCCGCCCGCTCACCCTGTGGTCTGCTGACCCCGGGGCCCTGGACCCGCTCGGCAGAGCATGAAGGCCCGGCGTGTCCCCGAGCGGACCGTGCTCTTCCAGCGCGAGAGGAGCGGCCTGACGTACCGCGTACCCGCGCTGCTGCCCGTGCCCCCCGCGCCCACCCTGCTGGCCTTCGCGGAGCAGCGGCTCAGCCCAGACGATGCCCACGCCCACCGCCTGGTGCAGAGGAGCGGCACGCTGGCCGGGGGCTCCGTGCGGGTGAGTGGCCGGGGCGCGCACCGCGGGCAGGACGCGGGCGGGGCACCGCCGCGCGCACAGGTAAACTGAGGCCGCCCGCCCTCCCTCCCCGGGCAGTGGGGCGCCGCGCGCGTGCTGGGGACTGCGGCCTTGGAGGAGCACCGGTCCATGAACCCCTGCCCGGTGCACGACGCCCGCACGGCTACCATCTTCCTCTTCTTCATCGCGGTGCGGGGTCGCACACCCGAGGCCACGCAGATCGCCACGGGCAGGAACGCCGCGCGCCTCTGCTGCGTGACCAGCAGGGACGCGGGGCGCAGCTGGGGCGCCGCCAGGGACCTCACGGAGGAAGCGGTGGGCGGTGCCGAGCAGGGTAGGCGGGGTGTGGGTGGGCGGGTGCGCTGTTCACAGGGGCGCAGGGCGGGACTCCCAGGGGAGGGGCTGGGGTCCAAACCTGGCTGTGTCTGCACTGGGAGGGGGCCGCAGAGCGGCGGGCGGGGTCTCGCTGGAAGGTGTCTGCTCAGTGGCATGGTGGTGTCCGCACTGGGTCCGGGTCCGCACGGTGGGGGGGGCGGGGAAAGGGTCCGGCTACAGGTCACAGGGCTGCCTACTCCGCCCCCCAAGCCAAGGGCCACCCACAGCGCTTCCCTGAACCCCTCAGTCCCGTAAATGGGTGTTGGTCGCCCTCACTGGGCCTGAAGAGCAGGCTCATCTAACTGAGACTGTCTCTGCCTGAGCGCTGAGGCCCCTCCCTCTTAGCACCCCAACCCCACTGCCTCCTCACCTCCTTTACCACTTGCCCTCTGCCTTCTTACCCCACCCAGGGGTGTCCAGCCTAGGGTCCAGGGCTGCCCAGGTGACCTGACCCTAAAGCTTTTCCTCCACTCCTGCTGAGGGGCCTGACTACCCACTGCCCTCTGAGGCCACCCCACCCCTGGCGTGGGGACACTGACCCAGGGGTCACCCTGACCCTTGTAGGTGGGATCTAAGCTGAAGGGTGTGGCAGGCTCTGAGGCATGGACAGGACACACAGAGCTGGTCCAAAGGACTGTCTGCTCCTGTGGACCCTACTCCACGGGATTCAGGCCCAGGGCTCCAGCTTGCCCTGAAGGTCCGCATACCCCCTCCACCCTTGGCTACCCCCTGTCTGGAGAGGGCTCACACTGGGCATTGTCGAAGGCTGTCCATCCACATGCAGGGACTAGCTACCTGCTCACAAGCTGAGAACTTGGCCAGGTAGCCTGCCTAGGCTCCCGGCTCCTGCTGATGCTGGAGAGAGGCTTGTCCAGCCCTGGACGATCCAGAGTGGCCAGCAGGAGTGGGGGGTGAGGGCACAACCCGGGGGGCATAGGGCACAACCCAGGGTGGCTCCCTCTGAGGCACTGGCTGCGGACCCTCCCCAGCCCCCAGGGAGGGAGGTGGTGCCTGGCAGCGGCGGTGGCCGTCTCCTTGCTGGGATGACCTCAGGCCCTCTCCTCTGCAGACTGGGCCACGTTCGCCGTCGGCCCGGGCCACGGCATCCAGCTGCGCTCAGGCCGTCTGCTAGTGCCAGCCTACACGTACCGCGTGGACCGGCGGGAGTGCTTCGGCAAGATCTGCAGGACCAGCCCCCATGCCTTCACCTTCTACAGTGACGACCACGGTTGCACCTGGCACCGTGGAGGCCTTGTGCCCAACCTGCGCTCGGGCGAGTGCCAGCTGGCTGCAGTGGACGGCCAGCAGGCCGGCAGCATCCTCTACTGCAACGCCCGGAGCCCCCTGGGCCGCCGCGTGCAGGCGCTCAGCGCAGATGAGGGCGCCTCCTTCCTGCCTGGGGAGCTCGTGCCTGCGCTGGCCGAGACGGCCCGGGGCTGCCAGGGCAGCATCCTGGGCTTCCCTGCCCCACTCTCCAGCAGGGCCAGGGGTGAGGGATGGTCGGCAGATGCCAGGAACCACCCCGAGTCCCCACAGCTCTGTCCTGGAGTCCAGCAACATTCAGAGGAGGGCACTACAGACACCCAAGGGGGCCAGGGGCTCGGCGGGATGGAGGGATGGAAGGGCAGCCCTGAGGAGCCTGGCCCGGGGCCTGGACTCAGTGGGACCAGGGACGCCTGGGCCCCGAGTCTCCCTGGGCCCCCTGCCACCCTGTCTCAGAGCCCCACCTGGCTGCTGTATTCCCACCCGGTGGGGCGCAGGGCTCGGCTCCACATGGGAATCCACCTGAGCCGGTCCCCCCTGGACCCCCACAGCTGGACAGAGCCCTGGGTGATCTATGAGGGCCCCAGTGGCTACTCTGACCTGGCATCCATCGGGCCCACCCTCAAGGGAGCCCTGACCTTTGCTTGTCTGTATGAGAGTGGGGCCAGGGTCTCCTACGAGGAGATCTCCTTCTGCATGTTCTCCCTTGCTGAGGTCCTGCAGAACGTGCCGGCGGGCCCTGTGCCGCCCAGCCGCGGGGGCAAGCCTCGGGAGCGCTGCCGGCCTTCCTGATGGGCTCTCTGGCCAGACGCATTTGTATGTCCCTAACACTATGCTTCAAAATATGACACAAAAGTGGGCAGACCTAGAGGAGAAAACAGAGCCATAGCTGTCGTAGAAAATTTTAGACACACGTCTCGGTAACTGACAGAGCAAACAGACAAAATCACTGAGGACACAGAAGATTTGCCAACCTGCCTAGCAAACTTGACTTAATTGACACATACAGAACACAGCACAAAACAACCGCAGAATACTAACATAAGATAATAATAAAAAAAAAAACCCGCAGAATATAGTCTGTTCAAATATACCCCTTTGTAAATTTGACATCATGTTGGATCATGAAATCAAGTCTCTACAAGACTTTGAAGGATTGAAAATTGCAGTGAAATTGAGCTAGAAATAAAAATGAAAGGAAATTTAAAATATTCCTGTGTTTGAAAATTGAGAAACACGATTCTGAATAACTCCTGGTTCAAAGAAGAAGCTCTAGTGAAAATGAGAAAAGAGTTTGAAATTAATTATGTGAACATGTGAGATGAGGGGAAGAGGGTCCGCCGCTGATGCCCCCACCTTAGAAAGGGGCAGGAAACTGAGTCCAAGGAGAGGAGAAGGAAGAGAACAATCCAGAACAAAACTAGAGGGATAGGAAGAATCATACGGTAGAGGGAATGAATGGAACCAGGTCCGTTTTTAGAAAACTAATAAAGCTGATGACCCCTGTTGAGACTGATGATAAAAAAAGAAAGAACACACGAACAACCAGCATCAGGAACGAGGCAGGGCATGCGAGGTTCCTACAGATGTTCGAAGATTTCAAGAAGATATTAGGAGCCATTTTATGCCAAAACCCTTAAAAATTTAGATGAAATGCACAATTCCTGGAAAAAATACAACTTATTAAAGAGGAACTAGAAAGTCAGAAAAATCCTATTAAAGACTCTGAAGTCATAATTTAAAATCTGCACACTAGGAAAAGTTCAGGTGGCCTGGCTTTCCCTGTGAATTCTGTCAAACGGTTCAGGACGATGCGTGTTGGTTTACGGGAGAGTTGCGCTTTGTAAGAAATTGCCAAGCCTGTCTTCCAAAGGGGCTGCACCGTCTGTATGTCTTTTCGATGAGTGTCTGTTTAGAGCTTCTGCCTCTTTTTAAATTGGGTTGTTTGTTTTGTTATTGGCGAGTTTTAAGCGTTGTTTGTATATTTTGGCAACTGAGCATATTGAAAGATGCTCCATATCCTATGTCAAGGGGGTGGGGGTTGGTAGGGTCCCCCTGCACGCGATTAGGACCAGAATCCGGAACGCGGCCAGCACCGCCTGCTGGCGAGGATGAAAATGGCAGGCGCTCTCCCTCGGGGACCGGGCAGCCACGTTGGAAAACAAGTTTGATGGTTTCTTACAAAAAACAGCCTCTTACCGTAGGATCCAGCAGTTGTGCTCCTTGGTAATTATCCAAATGAGTTGAAAACTCATGTCCACACAAAAACCTGCACATGGATGTTTATAGCGGCTTTATTCATATTTGACAAACCTTGCAAGAAATCAGGATGTCCTTTAGCAGATGAATGGACCAGCGGTGGTCCATCCATCCAGAGAAGACATAGAGGACCCTGAAATGTGTGTCACTAAGTGAAAGGTTACATGCTGTGTGATTCCATGTGACGTTCTGGAAAAGGCAGGCCTTTGAAGACGGTTGCCAGACGTTGTGGGGAGGAGAGATGAGCAGTGGGGTGCAGAGGACTCCGTGTGAGGCTGTCACGGGGGGGACGTGTCACTGTACGTTTGTCCAAAGCCACAGAGTGCGCGACACGGAGAGTGAGCCCTGGTGTGAACGACGGACTTCGGTTAATGATACGGCATTGCCGTTGGTTCATCAGTTACAACAATTGTACCCCACCAACGGGGGAAGTTAACCGAGGGGAAACTACGTGTGGGGACGTTGGGGGTGTGATGTAAGCTGAGAATCACGGCTCGATTTTCTGCAACCTCAAACTGCTTTAAAATGGGTCCACAGTTGTGACAACAGTGTAGCCATAAACTCAGCAAGCAAGAAAAGAGAAAGAAGGAAGTGCACAGTGATAGTTGCAGAATCCTGAGCCTATTCAAGCGGCCAGTGGACTCGTGTAAACGGCATCAGCCTTCTCACCACGAGTCAGTCGGCTCGGACACAGACCGTACAAGGGGTGGGGGGGCTGCTGGGCTGGAATCAGAGGGCATAGGATTCCCCCCCGCCGCGAGGGGGGAGGTTGAGCCGCAGTGGGGGGGCTCCAGCGATTGGGGTCAACATCATCATGTTGGCTCTGCCACCTTGATTGCCCTCAGGAGGAACCCCCCCCCCCGAATTCTCCAAGACTTCAGGAGCCTCACCCTGACACGAAGAGGCAACTGTCCACACCAACTAACCTACTGGGGCTGAGACCCCAGGGCCCAGGCCACCAGCTTAGCCTTCATGATCCCAGGCCAGGGTCCCTTTGGGGTCTGTGCTTTTCTCCCACTAGCACCCCCACCTGGTCCTCCAGGGCCCCCACCTTGGATTTCAGGGTAGGGCTCGGACTCCTGTCCTTCTGTCCTGCATGACCTCGGATTCCTCACTGGAGGTGACCAGCTCTTGTCTCCAGCTCTGCAGACCAGGCGAGGGTGAGCACAGGTAGTGGGAGGGGTCATCCTCCTGGGCAGAGGGGTTCCAAGAACAGGGCTCTGGTGGGCCCGGGCTGTTGGGAGGGGCCACAAGCCTTATGCTCTGCGTTCCCTGTGCCAGGGTCTCAGGCCTCATTTGAGAAGCCCAGGCTCACCCCCAGGTCCTCCAGCTGCCACCCTTCGTGGCATGCGCGGGGCTGGCAGGGAGGGACCTGCTGGGCGGGTGTGGGTGGGGTGGGCGAGGTGCCCCAGCCGGGGCCGTTGACACATGGGGCTGGGGCAGAGCAGGGGACGGAAAAAGTGAGTGGGGGCAGGCTGCAGAGGCCGCGTTCCGGGAAGGTGAGCAGCAAAGTGCTGACTGTGCCCGGCTCGCTGGCTTCTTATCTGAGCCGCCGTGCTGCCAGTGGGTGGCCCGGCCGGCAGCTTGCTGAGGCCACCGCTTCCTGCCCTCTCTGCTGTGTGCATTTTTGTCGTTTTTTTTTTCCAGAATATGAACTCATTTTTTAAAAAGCATACTCAAAATGTGTTAATCAGTTAGATTTTTACTTCCAATTTTGGTATTTTTTTTATGCTCAGAGTGCTCCCCTGTCTTTTGATAGGATGCCCACTCAGTTCCTTTTGGGGGCAGTGAGTTGCCCACGCCCCTCACTGACCAGCATGGGCAAAGGTCCCAGGATCCCTCTTCACTCAGAGCCTGAGTCAGGCCCTCCTGCCCCAGCCGCCTCCCCTGGGGCCTCCCCTGGCACATGGCTCACCCCTGGGAGGTATTTCACAGGTGGGGTTCGTGGGTCAGACGGCAAATGCTTGGCTAACTGCTGGCTAGTACGCAGTTCTCCAGTCTGACCTTCCCACCCGCCATGCTCCCAGTGCTCGAGGGGCTTGCGTCCCCGAATCCTCGCCAGCAGTGTGGAGTCATGCGCTTGGAGTGTTGCCCCTGGATAGGTTCATTGAAATCTGCATTTTTCTTTTTTTCTTTTTAAGATTTATTTATTTATTTGACAGAGAGAGACACAGCGAGAGAGGGAACCCAAGCAGGGGGAGTGGGAGAGGGAGAAGCAGGCTTCCCGCCGAGCAGGGAGCCCGACGCGGGGCTCGATCCCAGGACCCCGGGATCATGACCTGAGCCGGAGGCAGCGCTTAACGACTGAGCCACCCAGGCGCCCCATAATCTGCATTTTTCTTATGAGTAAAATGGAACATCCGTTTGTTGCTTAAGGGGTATGTATATACATACATGGAATACACGTATGTATAGCGTTGTGGCTTGTGTGCACGTGTGGATGAACATACATGTGTATCTGCATGCACACCCGTGTGCACATATATGCATCTGCAGTGCTTGTGTATGTGCACGTGCATGTGTGTATATGCGCATGTGTGCGCATGCACATTTGTATTGCACGAGTGCACACGTGTATGTGTGCACATGTGTGTGTGCATGTGCACTGTGTACATGTATGTGTGTACACGTGTGTGTGCACTTGCATGTGTACATGCACGTATGTGTAGGTGGAAAGTGCCTCATATCTTCTGTTCACTTTCCCAATGTGACTTTGACCTTTCCATATTTTAGAAGATCTTTATCTAATTGGAGTATTAACCTTTTATGTAATATTACAAATACTTTCCCTTAGTTCACTTTGACACTTTTTTTTTTACCACATTAAAGTGTTTTCCCTGATTTGTAGAATTGAATGTCTCTATCTTCTCTTTAATGGCGCTGTGATTTCGAGCCAGCCTCAGGAAGGTTTCCTGCCCCGTGGCGAAGGAAGTCACCGGCCTTCTGGGTCTCGCAGGGTTTCTGTTTTATACTTCTATTTGGGATCTGTGCAAGTCCGTGGCACGAGCGGGGAGTCTGCCCAATACTTTTTCAAAGAGCTCTTAACACCACTTACTACCACGTCTGTCTTTCTCCGCCAACGGCCGTCCTCTGGTGTGTGCGAGCCACCGTCCATCGCGAGTCGTACATCTGATAAAGCTGCTGTCTTTCACTTTCTTTTCTTGGTTTCCTTGGCTCTTACCTGCTTGTTTATGTCTCCGCGTGAACTTCTCAGCTGCAGAGATGTGGGTTTTTATTGGGACCGTGTTACATCTACAAGTTAACATGGGGAGAGCTGGCCTCTCGATGGTGTGTTCCCGCCGGCAGGACTGTTCCGCCCTCCCGCCAAGCTGTCCTGTGCGTTTGTGCATCTCTCATTAAACTGGTGCCTCAGGCATTTCATCTTCTCTGTTGCTGTTGTAGGTGGAAGATGCTCTCGGCCACTTTTCCTTCTGACTGGTTACTGTTTGAATATATTTTAGATGCGCCACTTGACTACATCTTCTTGTTTCTGTCCTGGTTTCTCCACAGAAGCCGTCGGGTTCTCCAGGCACGCAAGCCTGCAAACTTCAGTGTTCCCTCGAGGTGTGATCTTGCCTGCCAGCCCCAGAGCAAAGCGGCATCCTTGCCTTGTCCTGGACGCGGTGCTCCTACCTCCTGGGCCACCCAGGACAGGACCCCAGCATGGCAGGCCGGGGTGTGCGCGCAGGGGGCTGGGGAGTGGGGAGGGGGGCAGCTGTGTGCGCGGCCCCTGAAGGTTTGGACGAAGAGCAGCGGGAAGGGGCGAGGCTGGGGGTGGGTGTCTGTCACTGCGGTCGGGATGAGAACGGAGGTGCTCACGGCGGTGCTGTATCTTCGTCTGGAGGAGGGAGCCCACGTGCCCTTTGCCAACGGGAAAGGCTGTGTTCCCTGCTGGTGCCACTCCCACTCACTCCCCCTGTGCAGCCCGCCCCCTGCCCCGGTCCAGGGTCCAGGGTCCTGGCGCTGCCTGGGAGGGACTCTCAGGTGGGGGCGGGCGGGCCAGGCTGAGGCGGTCTGGGGACAGGCTTCCTGGGGGTGGCGCCTGTTGGCATCCTGAGGTTGTAGGGACATCACCCTGCGGAGGCCGTGGGTGTGCATGTGGGGGGAGTGGACACGAGAGGCCTCGGTGGGTCTGTGTGTTTCTGGGACAGTGAAGGTGAGGGCCTGGTGGGTGAGGGCCAGGCCTAGGGAGGGCTGGCTGCGTCCTCCATCTTGGGGCAAACCTTACCCCCCCTCCCTGCGACCACGAGAGCAAGAGAGAACTTGGGCTTTCCTTAGAGCTTTTGTCATTATTTAATTATAATAGAACAGAACAGGGTGAGGGGCTCTGAAGTGTTTGTGGGACCCAGGACAAGATATGCGCTCCTGAGTCCCCGACACCCGGGTAGCCACTGGCCAGCCTGCCGCAAGCTGACCTGCCGTGCGCCGGGCTGAGGCCCCTTTAAATAGCACCGTGCATGGGCGCCAAGGGGAGGGCGACTCCCGGGGGTCCCCAGGACAGCCTCGCTGGGGTGACTCCAGCTCTGCCTGTTCCCCTCGTTGCTACCATCCCCCCCCCGCCCCCGCCAGCTGCTTGGTGGGCTGGGCCGGGCATGAGGGTGGCCCTGGGCACCTGCTCTGCCGTGCTGGGAGCTCTTTCCCAGGCAGGCCTGGGGGAGCACAAGGCCCCCACCCCATGCGTGGGCCCCTCCAGGTTCACGAGGGACCTCTTGGCTGTGGGGGCATGTCACTGGACCACTCCAAGGCAGGGTCTCCAGCCGGTGTCCCTGTGCCCCCGTGTCCAGGCATCAGGCTCCCCTGGAGGCGGTGGGGGGCCGCAGAGACTCCTGCAGCCTGACCCTCATGAGGCCACAGCGCTAGCCCACCCTCACCCCTGGGGAGGCACAGAGCAGAAGGTCTGGAGAGTGACCAGCTCAGGGGGCTGGGCCTGGAGTCCTGGGTGAGTCTCCTTTCCCGACCACAGCCACACGGACAGGAACACCTCCTGCCCCCAGGTCGCGCAAGTCCTGAGAGGAGAGCAGCAGGGCTGGTGCAGGCAGGGCTGGTCACCGGGCTCAGCCCCGGGGCGGCCCCCACTGCCTCCCCAGTACACGCTTCTCCGGGGAAGGCACCCGTCCGGGCTCCTGGTGGAGGGTCTGAGGGACTCAGGCTGGCCGAGGAAGCCGGTCAGAGGGGCCAGCGGCAGGGTCCGTCCTCGGGGCTCAGAGGCTGGGGTCCCTGCAGGCTGTTGGCTGAGGCCCTGCGGCCCGGGGACCCCGGCCTGCTCGGGAAGACAATTGTGGCATACTCTGTCTGTTCGGGGGCACAGGGGGCGGGAGGCTCCGGCGTCTTCTCTCGCCACTGGAAGTCCAGCTCCCCGTAGTCCACGGTGAACACAGGCGCTGCAGAGGGGCCCTCCTTCTTTAGGGAGAGAAGGAGAGAGGCGTCAGCTGTCCCCGGGGGGGCAGGCAGGCAGGTGCACACCAGCACGCGTGCATATGCGGGGCCAAAGCAAAGCCAAAGCAAGGCCGGGGCGGGGCCCGTGCTCCCGACCCTTTCTGGGGCCTGCTGTCCCCATGCTCAAACTCAGCGGCATGGCTGGAGACAGGTGTGGCAGCTCCTGAGCCCCGTGGACCCCACCCTGCACCACCCCGGGGGCGGCGAAGGGAAGGAAACTCACCAGGGGCTCCTCCTCACTCCCACAGGCACAAGCACCTATGAAGAAATGCATCTGGACTGAAGAGGCCCAGGACACCCCGCGGTCCACGAGCTGGTAGCCCCTTCCTCCCCAGGGGTTCCCACCTGGGGTGACCGAGGGTCCTCTCAGTCGCCCGATGGTCTGGCTAAGCCCACTCCCCACGCAAGGACACTGAGTCCCTGCTCATCAACCAGAGTTCCCACGTGGGCCGCGAGTTGCGCGGGTTGGACCGCTGGCGTCCAGTCCCCGCCCCTGCCACGGGCGCTGCCGTCTCTGGCCACAAACCTCCGACTGAGATACGCGCCCACGGCAGGCGCCAAACCCACAGCACAGCGGGCGCCTCATCAGCGAGGCCGCGGCGAGCGTCTCTCCAATGGAGGCCACCCAGAAATGCCACATGTACCCCCTCCCGTGGCCAGCAGAGAAGTGAACGCCCACTGGGGACCGGCCACAGGGGTGCAGACCTCCTGGCCGGCGAGCGGGGAGATCGTGGAGGGCAGCGGCTGCCGGGGGGCTTGTCTGGGACCCCGTGGAGCCTCCTGTTCTCTGGCCACGTGTCCCCCGAGGTGCCTCCTGGCCCAGGAGACCACGACTGGGCCTGCGGAGGAGCTGGCCCCGGGGCTGGGTCCCCTGTGGGCTTCCCCCTTCCAGCCCCAGCCCCAAGCTGTGTGGGACCGCCAGGGGACCAGGGTGTGTGCAGAATGGGGGTGAGCGGGGCTGGCGGGGGCCTCACGGCAACCACCCCAGTGGCCGTGGTTGTCAAAGGCAGAGCCCAGCGGCTGTGAGAGGCGCTTCCAGTGTTCTGTGGGCTGTGGTGTGGCCTGAGGTTTGGAGGAGGCCTTGCTGTGGCCAGTGTCGTTGGCTCAGCCTGTTGGGGGGTTGCTTCCTGCCTTTCTGTGCGACCTCGGCCACTGCCTTCCCCCTCCGCAGCCCCCTCAGACCCCTCCTTAGAGCCGGTGCCGGGGGAGGGGACCCCAAAACCTGGGGCGCCCACTCCAGCCCCAGGCCCCCGCGGAGGGGTGCTCACCATGGAGGGCACTGGGCGCAAGACTGGACGGGGAGGACGGTGAAGCAGGGTGGGGGTCCCCGGTGCATGAGGCTGGGGGTGGCGCTTTGGGCTCTGACGGGCAGGAGACAGCAGTGGGGTTGGGCCCGGGCCTTACCTTGGGCGGCCCTGGGGAAGGCAGCGGCCAGGACCCAGGTCAGCAGTAGGAGGAACAGGACCCCCACCAGCACACTTGTGATGCCGATGACCAGCCCCTGTAACTGGCCAGTGAGTCTGGGTGGGGGGCTGGGGCTCTCTGTGGGGGGCTCCAGGGTTCTCTCTGGGGGGCAAACGGACAGAGACTCATGGAGGTGACTTAGTAATGGGGACACAGGGAGGGGACACAGGGAGGGGAACTCAGGGAGAGACACAGGGAGGGGGACTCAGGGAGGGGACACAGGGAGGGGGACTCAGGGAGGGGACTCAGGGAGGAGACACAGGGAGGGGGA